CAGCCTGTTGACATCATTGGGGAGTCTTGAATCCAAGAGACAAAAAAGCTGTCACTCACGGCTCAGCTTGTGGTGCGAATGTTTGCCAAGCCATCAAAGGTACCATGATACATGTGGTTACCCACTGGAAAATGAAGGGAAGACTCACACATAATCAAAGGGGCAAAATCATGCATTTTCCATACTCAAAGAAGAAAACAGCCGCACAACCAATTTGGCATGTTACGAACAAGGCTGGCTGGATTCACAGGGCTAGCTGGATTCACGCCCAAGGAGTTTTTTACTCGGGCATTCCCACTGCCAATCGACATGGATATGCGTACGAATTCTACCGGCTTCTTGCTTCACAGAATTGTTGATTCAATCGGGAGGTGGAGTGGGGGAGGGAGAGAGATAAACTTTCAGTTATCTTTTTTATTTCCAATACCAGTTTAGAATAACTCTCTAATCATTAATGGCCAAATGGCTTATTCGAATGTCTGCTCTAGAAAGACTGCTTCAGGGGGCACGGGAGGCAGACGGGACAGAGAATTGGAAGTGATTGGCGAATGGCCTCGCTTCACATGGTGGACATATGTATTTCTTTTAACTCACAGTTGCCACTGACCAAGCAGGGCTGAAAAGATACCAAGAGTGTTTGTGCCCTAAGTGACGGACTTTCATTCAAACCATTTCTAACTCTCAGGGGGGAGAGATCACGACTCCAGCCTCGATTTTCATCTAGGAAATGGCAAATCCAAGACACAAGTTCAGAAGAAATGTTCATTCGCTGATGGAAACGGCAAGGAAAAACCATCGAACAAACCAGGAAACCCAAACTTCAGAATACTCCTCTTTGGCAAACTCTGTTAACAATGGGGAAGGCAAAAACCAGCCCATAATAATCTCAAAGGCATTCTAACATGTTCCCGCCCTGTGGAAGACACAGCAAGAACGATCCTCGGTTTTCTTATACCCTTTTCTTTGGCAAGATGCACGCGAAACAAACAAACAAACAAAGTTCCCTATCTACAGAGCTTATTGTCAAAAGCATTTGGTATTTACATTCTAACTGTCTTAACCTTCACAGTGGTATTAAAGTGCAGAATTTGTTCCATCTCTGAAAGACAGGCTTCCTTAGCTAGTCACCTTCCTGCAGAACCAAGCTGAGGTCAGCAGAAACAAAGCGTGGGGCAGGGTGGGGGGGAGGGGCTATCTGCAGCAGGAAAGGGGGCTTGGGGAATTACCCCTCTCTAGCTTCCTTCTGATCCGAGATGTGTTTTAAGAAAGCCTAGCTTGCTACCCGTTTAGTCCAATGCACGGCTGTGATGCTTCAGTGACTGAGGTTACTGGCCTCTTACGTTATTTTCTATGTTAACACAGATCCGCAAAGCGAGCGAGAGAGAACACGATGCACACCGGAGGCAAACGCAAGTCGCAAAGGTAGGAGGAAAAAGAGAATCAAGACAATGCACATCTAACAAAACAGGAATGGGCCTAGGAAGAGAGGCTAGTTTGCACCAAGCTGTCCTGGGAAACGTTCCTGTTATGACTTGTAGCGAGTTCCACTCACCTCTTGTGACCCATGGGGGCCTACGCTAAATGGGGTGATGGCAGAGGATACGGGAGCCTCCATGGATGGCTTTTAAGGAGGACTCCCCTGCTCTAATATGTGGACAACAAAGGAGGTGCAAACGGCCCACCTGTGTTTCCCCCCTCCCCAGCACGAACAGTCAAAAATTAATGACACTACCCCCCCTTCCAGCGAGTGAAGTTGGCATTCGTGACTAACTCCCGGCTGCTGCCTTGCGGTGCATTAAGCTTTGCAAACGAACCTGCGACAGCCTGCACGAGTGAACAGGAGCACAAGGACAACCCAAAAGCAGATCAGTTCTTTAAAAAAAAAAGAACGGCACAGGATTTGACTGTCTGCAGCAGTACGCAAGATGTCAACCGAAATAACAGATAATTTGCACCGATTAACAGGAGGGCGGTTACCCCTTCACTTGCACAGCTAACGCCTCGCTTCTCTAGAGAACTGCAAAAACGAAAGTGTCATTTGAAAATACAGCCCTTTTCTCAAGACCTGGGTTAGCACCAGGCAGCTTATCCCCGAGGGCACCTTATCATGCGCCTCTGATAAGTTTGACGGGATTTTTGTCAGACAGGTAAATCTGAGAGGGGAAATGCATTATGATAAACACTGGGCTGCCAGTGAAAATAGCAGCCTCGTGTTGGATTCTCTCCCACTGTACTGTGTAGTGAAAGTCACCCTGGGCCTTCACTCCCAAGCAACTTCAGTGGGTGCTTATGGTGTGGAAGCACGCACAGTGAGAACTCTGGGGGCAGCAGGCAGGTTTTACTATGTGTCACCGAATAAGAGTACTTGACGCTGGGCTGCCATTTTGAATGGCAGCTCTGTGTCTACTATAACATATTGTTTTGTGCATTTTTAAACAAGTTGAGAGCCACTCCATGAACAGCACCCGTGGCCTTTCTATACAGTCGCGGCTTTCTCCGTTCGGTACACCAGGATCTCGGTTTGCCCGCAGAAATGCCACTGTGAGCCACATCAGCAATGGGAGCATCAGAGGAGCTCTTGAGCTATTTGTAAACTATGTACCCAATCCTACCAGCACTGGTTAACACAACTGAATGAGCGTGGCTTGCATCCTGGTGAGACCCCTTGCTTAAAAAAACAAAACAGGGCGGATGCTATTGGTGGATGCACAACTGCAAAGCTCGCTTCCTATACTGTAAGTTATTCCCCAACGCCGTTCCCATGTCTAAAGTAACAGCACATGGACTGATGGTTTTGCTCGTAAACAACATGGTCCCGGACAGAACTGAATTGCAGCATTTTGGCAGTAGCTCCGCCATCTGAATCTGCCAGCTGTGCCCATCGCTCATTCAAGACAGGATGTTAGTCTGTGTACTCGGGCCAAAAGGAGGACAGCTGGAACTGTCACTCCCCACCCCCTTCCTGATGAATATCAATACTGTTCCAAGCGGCACCCCTTTTGTGCTTTACCTGAAGGCTGCCTCGATCATTCTGAAGATAGTCTGGTTTTTTTCAGTGGGTTATTTGGGCCACGCACATTTAAGAGATGCTTTATCTCACTGGTAAATGGCATTCCATCTGTCATGTAACCTGCTGGGTGTGGTCGATAATCTCCCCCGGCCATGCACTGATTGTCAGGGTAGGGCTGGTGTAGACTAACAGGAGGCAAGGCAGTGTTGTGGTTCCCGACCCCTACTGGTTCGGCCTGCAGGTGCCAGTGTTGGTTACATGCCACATTGGCAAAAAAAAAAACACCCCAATTAATATGTCAGGCAGAAAGCTAAGCTAGAATCTGTCTCCCTTATAACTGGCTTTCTATGTGCGGGGGGTGGGCAGGGGGTATCCTTGCTTTTTAGAAAAGAAATCCAGTCACAAGATCTCCCCACCTTCAACCTGTAGCAGTCCTGTTGAGGGACAGTGCTCCTGCCTCACGCTCTCTGAGTTGAGCCCAGTAAACTAGCTACGAGCTTTCTTTCCTTTCTTCTATGGACACAACTATACGTTGCTTCGTTTTGCTTCTGGCACAATGATGTCACCTTTTCATCCCCTGGTGTTTTTGAAATTTCTCCTCTGAGCTTTGCTTCTCCCTTCCCGGCAAAGGCTTATTTTTCCCCACGCCCCCGCGGTACAGAGGAATTGCCGGAACGGGGAAGAAACCCAGCAGACACAGAGAGCTCAAAGCACAATATGGGATTTTTCACAGCACTTCAAAAGCTAGGAAAATAGGCCAGAATACAAACACACACACACACACGTGCATGCACAGATGGGTAATTAGGAACCACAGTACACAAAAGCAGACGTCAGGAGCGTGAGAATTCTTCCAGAAATATAATGTCATGTTTTGGTGAGAAGCACACAGGGAGGTTTAGCTACAAAAATGGAACAGTGCACAGACAACTCCCCCCCTCCCCCCCCCAAATACCCACCCGGGGGGCAGGGAGGGAAACACCCGAAACCGAAACCCTGACCCACAAACTCTCACTGTTCACTGTATATTAAAATTAAACGCTAACAGTAATCAAGATGAGAAGCGATGAGTTAAAGGGCCAGGCTTTCACTGAAGAATGACTGGGCACAGCGATAAGAAAGGAAGCAAAGAGTGGCTAGCAAGTGTGAAAGACAGAAAGGGGAAAAAGAGAGATGGAAACACAGAAATGACAACGTCCGGGGTAAGACACCGTACGAGGAACACTGATTGCACAACGGCCCTCCTCTCGGGATCACGAAAGACAAGGCATCGATATCTAGGATATGACTATGCAAAATATATACACAAAATCTAGATTAGGTATGTATATATGTACATGTAGGTAGCACTGTACACATACGAGGAGGGAAGAGTTCTGCCAAGCTTCAGCGCCTGGCCAACGGGCTGCCACGTAGAAACCGACTTGTTCCAAATTGTGACTCGCTGCAAAAAATAAACGACCGTGTAAAAAAGATGGTCCGAATCATTCCCGGCTGTCTTTGGGCCTAGCTGGAAAAAAACCCACAGTTCTCGCTGCACTGCTGCGCGCTGGAATCCCCGCTGGAACGTTTCTTTTCAGGGTGCGTCGGGAGTGAATACCGCACAAAACTGACAGGCGCAAGTGGTACACGAAAGAAGTCACGGCTGCAGATGCCGCGCTGGCCGGTAAACGGATCTTCCTCCCGCTTCCCATGCACCTTAGTCACGGTTTACAGGGTTTGTCAAGTCAGGGGAACGGCAATGAAGCCCCAAATCGCCCGGTGGTTCTGCAGGATAAAAGGCGGGACTGATGAATCCCCCCTTAAGAGGTCGGCACAGTTCTAGGGAAGGGTTCAAAAAATATGTAAAATAGGGATTCCCCCATAAAACTAAGAAGTGTGTGGCGATTCCAAAACACTTGGATCTTGGAGATATCCATAACGATGGCCTGAACTCGGAACAAAACTGGATCATTCCCCCCCACCCACCCCAAGAAACTCATGTGCGTGGTCAGTCTTTGGCCTTCGGGGAGCAGTGCAGCGTCTTGGGAAGCCGCGGAGGTTCCAACGCGAACCAACTTCCGACGAGGAAACTCAGCCTGGCGACAGCTTCCTTTTCGTTCCCCCCGAAAGAGCTGTGAACTGTTGCAAAGGGCAAGGCCTGTTCTGGCCTAGTGTTCGGCATCCATGGCGTCCAAGTATTTCGCTTCGATAATCCTGGGGAGCAGGTTATACCTAGGATACAGGGGAACGAAGAGGGACAATTAGTTCTAGGTTCGCCAGCAATCCTAGGTTCTAGGTTCGTCAACGCAATCAATGGGATGAGACATCTAATAAGCAATGAAATAGAAGAGGAGATTGGATTTATACCCCACGCTTCACTACCCACAGGAGTCTCAGGGCGGCTTACAAACTCCTATCCCTTCCCTTCCCCACAACAGACACCTGTGAGGTAGGTGGGGCTGAGAGAGCTCTTTCGAGAACGGCTCATGAGAGAACAGCTCTGAGAGAACTTGTGACTGACCCAAGGTCACACCAGCAGCTGCACGTGGAGGAGTGGGGAATCAAATCCGGTCTTCCCAGATCAGTGTCCGTGCTCCTAACCACTACACCAAGCTGGCTCTCGTTAATAGGATGAGGAATTCCAAGGGGCCGGAATCCCGTCCAACCTTAAGGCTCTTAGAAACCCTTCCGTTTTGGCACTGCCAACGATGCTACCAGTGGGTCGTACCTGATGGGGATCATTCCTATCATGATGAGAGGGAAGATCATCTTCATGTAGGGCAGCGGAGACATGCCAAAGCCGCAGAGAATGATGAGCTGAAGAACCTGCAGGCCGGTGAAATAGTGGATTTTCCTCTGAGGCACCCGGCGGATGTAATGCGTGGGAGGGTAGGCTGTCTGGAAGATACAAAACCCGTTAGCACGGAGCCCGCTCCCCCACTCGAAAGCAAAACTACCAGCCACACCTCCGAACAGGCAAGCGTAACATCATCGCGCCTGCTGAAGGCCTGCCTTGTATTCAGGTTGTAACGACGATTTCATTTTAGCGTAGACGTTTTTTCAGCGGTTCAAGATTAACAGATTATCACTAACGTTAGGAAAGTTCTTGTTTACTCTTTTAAAGAGGGGACCCATCCCCAGGCACTGCAATATCAATGTTATATTGTCCGCTTCGGTATTTGAAATATGCATGTTTACTAATACATCTGATTTTACTTGTTGTATGTAACAACCCATAATATTTGATAAATTCGATGAATCCAAATTTTCCCCTACCCCCTCTTCCCTTTTGTATCCCACTTTGAGAAAATTAAAAAAAAAATTAATAAGAAGAAAGAAGAAAGAAAGAACGAAGAAGAAAAAGGAGAAAAAGAAAGGAGAAAAGAGAAAGAGGAGAAATTAAGAAGAAGAAAGAAGAAAGAAACAAAGAAGAAGAAACAGGAGAAAAAGAAAGAATAAAGAATAAAGGAGGAGGAGGAGGAAGAGAAGAAGAAGAAAAAGAAGGAGAAAAAGAAAGAAGAAGAAGAAACAGGAGAAAAAGATAAAAGGAGGAGGAGGCGGAGGAGGAGGAGAAGGCCTGCCTTACGTCAGCCAGCTACTACAGGGCAACATGCAGATCCAACCCGGGTTAGCTCCAGTGCAGTTGAAAACCATGACTTATTTTAATGATGGTTAGCTTTGGAGGGTAGCTGGCTTCCGGTCTGGCTCCCGCGAATGGTGGACGCATCCTCGGGTTGCTCCCGAGGGCGTCTCGCCCGCCCGCGGTGGAGGAGGGAATCCGCGCGAGCGGAGACCCGAACGAGCACCTCAGGAAGAGAGGAGCTCGGATCCGGGGCGCTTTAGGGCGCACTAGGGGGGAGTCGCTCTTTCGGCCGAGAGGTCGGAGACGATTTGCAGGAGAACAGCTCGATTTGGGTCCAGTAGCTCCCTAGAGACCGACAAGATTTCTGGGTTGTGAGTTTTCGAGCGTCAAAACTCCCTTTGTCTGACCAAGGCACCTTTGGCTCTTGGAAGCTCCAGCCCTGAAATGAATCTCGACTCTGATATCTGACAAAAGGAGCTTTGACTCTCGAAGACTCGTACAGCCCCCCAAAATGCTACTGAACTTGAATCTAGCTGTTTAAGGGTGGTTATAGACAGGGCTCCTTCCTTCCTTCCTTCCTTCCTTCCTTCCTTTCTTTCTTTTTTGAAAAAGAGGCACCGGGACATGCCAGAGGGAAATGAAGTTTTCAATCTACATACTGAAAACTCATTAACTTTGAAACATTTTAAAAGAATTTGGTCAAAGAGGTTCCGGAACTCTGTTCTGGAATGTCCCCCCCCAGAAAGAAAGCCCTGGAACTTACAGATCAAGATGGGTAGCCGTGTTAGTCTGTAGCAGTAGAAAAGAGCAAGAGCCCAGTAGCACCTTTAAGAGACAGTTTGGTATAGTAGTCAGGAGTGTGGAAAACGCGGGGGAAATCGCACTAAGCTGCGGGGCAAAATGTGGTCAGCATTACGCTTGTGGGAAATCACCCAAGGTCACTCAGCAAGACTCCATGGCAGAGTGGGGATTCGAACCCGATTTCCCCAAATCCTAGTCTGGCATTTTAACCGCTACGCCATGCTGGCTCTCGTGGCATGAGCTGTGTTCAGGCAATCACATTAACCCCAGTGAGGTTTAACTAAACCACATTTTTAGGCAACATCTGAACTGACACACTGTCTCTCTCCATCTGCCTCGCTCTCTCCTGCGCCGAGGTGAAACACTAGACTTCAAGAATCTTTTTAGTTCTGGAATTATGTGGATATCACGTTAAAAATGATGAAGATAGTGATTAAAATTTCAAAATTTTATTTTGTGTTCCATTCATATTTAAATAATCAGTAAGAATAAAATCCAGATTCAGGTAAACAGTTAAGACAATATTTAGGTTTTTAGTATAGGAATCTGTTCAACAGTTAAAGATGTATTTTCTTTTATCGTTAATATATTATTACTAATTTTGGGAGAGTTGTTTATTCCTTAGAGAGAGAATCTAACCCAAAATTCTGTAAAATGGATGCTTTATTAATTGTTTCTATATTTGAATTAAGTAATACATTTGATAATATATTTGATTTTACTTGCTGTATGTAACAATGCACGATATTTAACAAGTTTGGGGAATCTATATTTCCCCCTCCCCTTTCCCCCTTCTGTATCTCATTTTTCCTCCCTTGAGAAAATAATAATAAATTTTTTAAAAAAAAAAAGAGAGTGAAAGCTTTTTGTTTAACGTTATGACCACCACATCGAAAAGCACTGCACATCACGATCTCACCAGGAGGGGGGAGAAACGCACAGCTAAGATTGCCCGGAGGAATGTTTAGAATATGAGCAGAGACACAGCGGGAAATCATGGCGGATTGCCTTTCATCGTCTTATGCCAGAAGAACAGTGTCTGGCACAGCCGAAGCGCCTTTCCCCAAGACAAAGCTTAGATTCCCAAATTTTACAATAAATACCATTTAAAAAAATGAAGCAACAGCAGTTTTTGAGAGGCTCCCTCTGGCCTGATCAGATGAGTGGCAGTGGCATGGAGACGAGGGCCACTTGCGCCCAGATGCCCGTGGGCGTGGCAGGTCTTCGGTGCTAATAGCTGCCGGTTTGCATTCCTACCTCTACCGTCGCCCACAAAATACTATCGTGCGAGGCTCAGTCCTCCACTCTGACAGCGAGAGGACAACCCTACCCTTCTCATTATTCGCACTGGTGTCATTCTATGAAACTGTTTGGCTGCTCCGGCCCAAATCGGCAATCTGGGTTTAAACGAGGAGGCTTCTCAAGCAAGCGCAATAATCCTCTGCTGCTATCCCTTGCCCCCCCCAACCCCCGTGCTGAAACTTAGAAGATGGTTCGCTCTTTGGTCTTTCTGCTTGCTAGAGAAAACGAACACGCCGTAGCAAGGACAGCTGAAATTTCGGTGGCAACAGCAGAAGCGGTTCGGAAACCCAGAAGATTAAGGCTGATGGTTTTATGGATTTTAACTGATTATCGTAATATGTTTTAATTTGTAAAATCTGCATTAATCGTTGGTACCTGCCCTGAGCCTACAATACGAGGAGGGCGGGATATAATTCAAAAGGAAGGAAGGAAGGATTAAAGTGAGAGGAAAGGAAGAGAGAGAGCAAGAAAGAAAAAGAAAGGAAGGAAAGATTAAAGTGAGAGGAAAGAACAAAAGGAAGAATGAAAGAAAGGAGGAAAGGAAGGATTAAAGTGAGAGGAAAGAAAGGAAGGAAAGAAGTATTAAAGTGAGAGAAAAGAAAGAGAGAGAGAGAGAGGGAGAGAGAGAGAGAAAGAAAGAGAGAGAGAGAGAGAGAGAGAGAGAGAGAGAGAGAGAGAGAGAGAGAGAGAGAGAGAGAGAGAGAGAGAGAGAGAGAGAGAGAGAGAGAGAGAGAGAGAGAGAGAGAGAGAGAGAGAGAGAGAGAGAAAGAAAGAAAGAAAGGAAGGAAGGAAGGATTAAAGTGAGAGGAAAGAGAGAGCGAAAGAAACGAAGGAAGGAAGGATTAAAAGGAGAAGAAGGAAGGAAGGAAGGAAGGAAGGAAGGAAGGAAGGAAGGAAGGAAGGAAGGAAGGGATGTTTGCTTCCTGCAGGCAAAGGCCAGGACCCAAAGAGCTGCATCAGACCGCTAAGGTTCCCCTTTCCTACCACAAAGTTTCACCCTCTTCCTCTGAAAATGGCCACTTGGAACCAGTTTGTTTCCCTAAAGACATTGGGGTGGATCCTTAGGGTCCGCTCTGCTAACAGGAGCACCTTCCACCGGCAGAAGGAGCCTTCCTTGGATGTGAGACATTGTTGGTGGAGTGTACTTACAGAGCCCAACCTATTCCCCCGGTTTCTTCAGTCCACAACTGGACAAGAACGGTCAGGCAGACAGAGTCATGAGGAGGCCGCAAAGGCAGCTTTTGTCAGGAACGTTCTGCCGCCGTGAGCACATGCCCGAGGCTGCAGAAGGCACGTGAACACCTGAAACTACGTTCTACTGAATCAGACCCTTGGTCCTTCAAGGTCAGGCCCGTCTATTCAGACTGACCTTGGCTCTCCAGGATCTCAGTCAGAGGTCTTTAACATCACTTATTGCCCGGTCCTTTAACGGGAGATGCCGGGGATTGAACCCGGGACCATCCGCATGTCATGGTGACTGAGGAGAACCTCCACATTCAGAGGCACTAATCCTCTGAATCCGAGAGCCAGGAGACAACATCAGGGGAAGGCCTCGGCTTCACTGTTGTTGGACCTCCAGAGGAACTCATTGGCCACTGTGTGAGACAGGAGGCTGGACCAGATGAACTACTGGTCTGATCCGGCATGGCTCTTCTTATGTTTGAGTCAGGGGGACGCCTTGGCCTCTCTGCCCTGTTGTTGGCCCTTCAGAGGGCTGGCCACTGTATGAGACAGGATGCTGGAGTAGATGGACTAACCCAGCAGGGCTCTTCTCATGTTAGTGTCAGGGGAAGGCCTCGGCCTCCCTGCCCTGTTGTTGGCCCTTCAGAGGGCTGGCCACTGTATGAGACAGGATGCTGGAGTAGATGGACTAACCCAGCAGGGCTCTTCTCATGTTAGTGTCAGGGGAAGGCCTCGGCCTCCCTGCCCTGTTGTTGGCCCTCCAGAGGAACTGGCTGGCCCCTGTGTGGGACAGGAGGCTGGACTAGATCGACCCTCACTGGTCTGATCCAGCAGGGCTCTTCTGAGGTTCTTATCAGGGGAAGGCCTCGGCCTCCCTGCCCTGTTGTTGGCCCTCCAGAGGAACTGGCTGGCCCCTGTGTGGGACAGGAGGCTGGACTAGATCGACCCTCACTGGTCTGATCCAGCAGGGCTCTTCTGAGGTTCTTATCAGGGGAAGGCCTCGGCCTCCCTGCCCTGTTGTTGGCCCTCCAGAGGAACTGGCTGGCCCCTGTGTGGGACAGGAGGCTGGACTAGATCGACCCTCACTGGTCTGATCCAGCAGGGCTCTTCTGAGGTTCTTATCAGGGGAAGGCCTCGGCCTCCCTGCCCTGTTGTTGGCCCTCCAGAGGAACTGGCTGGCCCCTGTGTGGGACAGGAGGCTGGACTAGATCGACCCTCACTGGTCTGATCCAGCAGGGCTCTTCTGAGGTTCTTATCAGGGGAAGGCCTCGGCCTCCCTGCCCTGTTGTTGGCCCTCCAGAGGAACTGGCTGGCCCCTGTGTGGGACAGGAGGCTGGACTAGATGGACCCCTAGTCTGATCCAGCAGGACTCGTCTGATGTCCTTATGTTCTTAAGTCCAGAGTCAAATGACTTCTACACACTGCCATTTGCTGCCCAATGTTTTAGCTGTGGCCGAGTTAGGGAACCCTCGAGAGGCAAACGCAAGCCCCCTTCAACGGCCAGGAAGTGAAAGTTTCCTTTCCTGGACCGGATGGCTGGGGTTTCTTTGCTGGCTGCCCTCAGGTGGCGCCGTGCCCAGCAAGCTTTGCTGCGCCGTGCACAAAGATGTCAACAAACAGGGTCTGAGGAGGGGCGGTCGGGATCATGAAAGCAATCAGAGAGACCGCTTTAACGGTAGTGTTTTCTCACCGCGGGCAATCAACTCGTTATTATGAGTTTCCTCAGGAAACAGAGGCTCAGAGCCGTGCGCGGCCCTCTCCCCCCTCTCCGGCTCGCAGGCCTTCCGGCCGCGCTTACCTGCTCTTTCTTCAGCAGGAGGGCCACCCTCTCGAAGAGCTGGTTCCCGTCGATGGAGGTCAAGGCGATGTAGAGGAAGAGCCCGTAGAGGACGGGCTTGGGGATCAGCTGCAGCGGGAACGGCAGGAGCAGGAGCGAGAGGCCCACCAAGGAATTGGCCACCAGCGTGGTCAGCCGGGTCTCCTTCACGCTCACGATCCTGGAGGGGAGGAAGAAGCGCAATTCGGGTTTTTTTAAAATAAGGCAAAGGTTTCCCTTGCTCGGAAGCCAGTCGAATCCGACTCTCGGGGGGCGGTGCTCATCTCCGTTCCCACGCTGAAGAGCCAGCGCTGTCCGAAGACGTTTCCGTGGTCATGTGGCCGGCATGACCAAGGTGCACGGAATGCTGTTACCTTCCCACCGAAATGGTACCTATTTATCTACTTGCAATTTCTAGATTTCGAACTGCTAGGTTGGCAGGAGCTGGGACTAGAGACGGGAGCTCACTCCGTCATGCGGCACACTCGGGTCTCAAACCGCTGAACTACCGACCTTCCACAGCCTGCAGTTCAGCGTCTTAACCACTTGAGCCACCGCAGCTCCTGTCTATACCTTGTGGCTAATAGCCACTGATGGACTTCTGCTCCATATGCTTATCTAATTCCCTCTTGAAGCCGTCCATGCTTGTAGCCGCCACCACCTCCTGTCTCTGGTCCCAGCTCCTGCCAACCCAGCTGGGGACAGGAGCTCACTCCGTCGTGTGGCACTCGGGTCTTGAACTGCCGAGGTACAGACCTTTCGGTCTGCAGCTCAGCGTCTTAACCTCTGAGTCACCACTTAGCAAACAGTCCATAAAGCACAGGCTGTGCCTATTATGAACATTCAGTAACATACAGCACTCCGGGGATCTTAAAACAGGGTGCCCACCAACCCCTTTTCAAGTGTTTTCAGAAAGTGGGTGGGGCAGGTGGTTTTTTCCTGCCGAGGAGGAGGAGGAGAACTGGTTTTATACCCTGCTGGTGAAAGACAGTTTGGTGCAGTGGTTACGAGTGCAGACTCTAATCTGGGAGAACCGGGTTTGATTCCCCATGCCTCCACTTGCAGCTGCTGGTGTGACCTTGGGTCAGTCACAAGTTCTCTCAGAGCTGTTTTCTCAAGGGCAGTCCTCGAAAGAGCTCTCTCAGCCCCACCTACCTCACAGGGTGTCTGCTGTGGGGAGGGGAAGGGGAAGGGATTGTAAGCCGCTCAGAGACTCCTTCGGGTAGTGAAGGGTGGGGTATAAATCCAATCTCCTCTTCTCTCTTCCTCTCTCTTCTTCAGTACCCAAAGGAGTCTTGGAGTCATACATAAATCCTGTAAGACTTAACATCACATAAGGCTCCAAATATTTCTCAAATATACAATAGTATTCAATACATGAAATACAATAGATTAAATAGATGACTACGATCAATTTTTTTCAACCCTGTTTTCAGCTGCACTAATAACTTCCTTTGGATATTTCCTATTAATAAACTGCTGGAATGGAATCAGTTTTTCTTCATGACAATCACTCAAAAATGTAGAATTTCATTTTGCTCTTAAGTACTGTCCATATGGTGAGTTTTTTCTTAATGTTATAGGGAGAAAAGAGTCGTATCGCAAGTAGTCATTCCTGTCTGTAGGTTTCCTATCGAATTTTACAATAAGTCAACCATTCTTGTTTACTACCATTGTGTACAAAAATGCTATTTCTTTCTGATGCCACGCCCTCAGATTTAATGCGGTCATGTAAACGATTTGTCCAATCAATGAGTTCCTCAATACATTGGCCACGAACTGCCCTGTGCCCTCGGTTTGGCCTGTTAAGGGGTAGCGGTGGCGCAGTGGGTAAACCTCCTGCATAACTATAACGTCTGAACTGCCAAGCTTTGTCAGTTCTAGCCCCGTGCTGGTGTGAGCAACCAGCCTTGTCTCTAGCTCATCATCTACCCAGCGATTCGAAAGCTTCGGCAAGTAGATAAATTGGGGACCACCCGTAAGGGGGTGGGCGCACCACTCCCCTTGGGAGGTGTTAGCTGCCAGGACTGACATTTGCGGCACGGCAAGATCAAAAGTGGGGAAAATCTGCATTCCCTGCAGTGGAGCGAATCGGCCAGGCGGTGGCAGTGTGGCAGTGCGACGAGAGCCCTGACTTCATCAGCCAGCCGACAGAATACATGCCGTCGGAACATGACTAATACAGCCTGCAGATGGATCCTTCGACCAGCTACAATGTGTGTGTGATTAAATATTGCATGTTGTCTTCCCTATCCCCCACGAATATATTGTTAGTCCATTGTCTTTGAGTAACTGTAAATCGCTCTGAGCCCACATGAGTGGGAAAAAGCGATTAATAAATTGAAAGTATTATTATTATTATAAGCTGAAGGCGCACTGTGAGTCCTCAGAGGGGCAGGGACCCCTTTGGTCTGTGTCCCGGACTGCACCTGGATCACCTACGGTGTCCACAGAATTCCGAATCGCCCATCCCGGCTACTGCAGGACTCTGGGCAATGTACAACAACTAGAATGATCAAAGGGTTGGAACACTTTCCCTATGAAGACAGGTTGAAGTGCTTGGGGCTCTTTAGCCTGGAGAAATGACGGCTGAGGGGGGGACATGATCGAGGTTTATACGATTATGCATGGGATAGAGCAGGGAGAGAAAGAGGTACTTTTCTCCCTTTCTCACAAGACAAGAACTCGTGGGCACTCCATGAAATTGCTGAGCGGTCGGGTTAGAACGGATAAAAGGAAGTCCTTCTTCACCCAAAGAGTGATTAACACGTGGAATTCACTGCCACAGGAGGCGGCGGCGGCGGCTACGAGCATGGACGGCTTCAAAAGGGAACTGGATAAGCACATGGAGCAGAAGTCCATCAGTGGCTCTTAGCCACAAGGTATAGATAGGAACTGTCCATGGAGCAAACGTCAGAGGACGGCGGAAGACAGGAAGGCCTGGCGGGATCTGGTCCATGGGGTTGCGAAGAGTCGGACTCGACTGTGGGACTGAACAACAACAATAGATAGGACCTCTCGGTCTGGGGCAAGGGATGCTCTGTATTCTTGGTGCTTGAGGTGGGGCAAGAGTGGGAGGGCTCCTACTGTCCTGGCCCCACTGCTGGACCTCCTGATGGCACCTGGTATTTTTGGCCACTGTGTGACAGACAGAGTGTTGGACTGGATGGGCCTTTGGCCTGATCCAACACTGTCTTCTCTTGTGTTCTTATTAATAAAAACATCTTTATAAAAAAAACAACAACATTAAAGCAGTAGATACATTAAAACTCCAGTTGGCAAACTAAAATCCCCCCCCCCCCCAATTCCGGACTGCCTGGCCACCTTGTGGGCAGAGGAGGAGGGGGCACAAAACGATCCAGAGAGCATAAAAGGGTGCCAAGCTAGAGTGGAAACCATCACTGTCCTCGACCAGCTTCACAGGCCCTGAGGAATTCCGTGAGAGCCCGCGGGGCCCTTGTGGTGTTTGGCCGAGAATTCCACCACGTCGGGGGCCAGGCCTGAGAAAGCCCCGGCCCTGGTCAAGGACAGACGGACATCTTTGGGGCTGGGGAACACCAGTAGATTGCTATCCAGAGAGCATAATGCTCTCCCGGGGACATACCAGAGGAGACGGTCCCACGGGTATGTTGGTCCCAGACCGCTCAGGACCTTAAAGACCAACACCGAAACCTTGAATTTGACTCGGAATTCTATCGGAAGCCAGCACAGCTGGCGCAGCACGGGTTGTATGTGTGCCACCCGTGACGTTCCTCTCAGGGCCCACAACGCTGCATTCCGGATCAGCTGGAGCTTCTGGGTCAGCCTCAAGGGCAGGCCAACGTAGAGTGTGTTGCAGTACTCGAGCCTGGAGGAGGTGACTGCTGCGTGCAGCCAGTTTGGTGCAGTGGTTAAGTGGGCAGACTCTGATCTGGGAGAACCGGGTTTGATTCCCCCACTTGCAGCTGCTGGTGTGACCTTGGGTCAGTCACAAGTTCTCTCAGCTGTTCTCTCAAGGGCAGTCCTCAAAAGGGTTCTCTCAGCCCCACCTACCTCACAGGGTGTCTGTTGCAGGGAGGGGAAGGGGAAGGAGATCGTAAGCTGCTCTGAGACTCCTTCAGGTAGTGAAGGGTGAGGTATAAACCCAATCTCTTCTTCTTTCTCCACATCCAGCTGCTGGTGTGACCTTGGGTCAGTCACAAGTTCTCTCAGAGCTGTTCTCTCAAGGGAAATCCTTGAAAGAGCTCTCTCAGCCCCACCAGCCTCACAGGGTGTCTGTCTGTTGTGGGGAGGGGAAGGGAAAGGAGATTGTGAGCCACTCTGAGACTCCGAGTGAAGGGCGGGGTAGAAATCCGATCTCTTCTCCTCCTCCATTACCCTGTTACACAGCAGTGGTGGTAACAATACAGGCCATGAAGAGGAACTCCACTGGAGGGAGCAGAGTGTACCAGAAATGAGAAGGCGGTGCTAGATTGAAAGTCTTTCTACAGGGATTCTATGAGCACAGCAACCAGACTTGGGGGCAGAATTCCCTTTTCTCCTTAGCAATGAACACCCATAGCTCTGGCTATCCCCTGGGGCTCTCTTGCTCTCTGTTTCTGGTTTGTAATGGCCTATGGCTAAGTACAATAAAACCCTTCTATACATGGTACCCTTCAGAGCTTATCCATCGCCGTAATTTAGCCTTTTGCCACTGGCTAAACAAAACCTCTCGAAGCAGCCAAAATCCTTCTTTCTGCCATTTAATCCTCTCCCAGAAAAAGTGACTTGATTTTTAGTGGTACGGGGGTTTCTCCTTGGCTTCTGTGCTATCCGAAACGGAACCTGAGCGTAGCTCAGCGGGGAATACTACTCCCGATATTCTCCAAAACTTAAACTTGTCCTAAGGAGCCGGGTAATTTGAGAAACTTCTCAGTTGCCTTGTTCATGCCTCAAAGATAGCATCCAGTTCCAGTGGGTGGGGGGGAGGACGAAGAGAAGAAGAGGAGGAGGAGGAGGAGGAGGAGAAGGAGAAGAGGAGGAGGAGGAGGAGATTGGATTTATACTCCGCCCTTCACTCGGAGCCTCAGAGCGGCTTACAAACCCCAGGGCTGAGACAGCTCTTTCCAGAATTGCCCTTGAGAGAGCAGCTCTGACAGAACTGTGGCTTGCCCAAGGTCATCCAGCAGCTGCAAGTGGAGGAGTGGGAAATCAAACCCGGTT